TGGCTGGTTTGGAATCCTAACCCAAATCTGCATAGCAGAGCAGCAGTGAAGAGGAGTCTGCTCATGCAGGTTCTGCTTCCCTGCTCTTGGTGAAGATTCAACACTGTAAATTCCTCACTGACCTTCAATCCTCCAGCTCACAGACTCAGGCTTTCCCAGGAGCAGTCAAGGGTCACATATACATATTGAAAGACAATTCTGCCTCATTAATATCTTGTTTTAACACTGATGACATAAATTTTGGCTAACCTGTGATCTCCTGCACTTAGTACTGCACATTCAGCAGAATTTGGGGTCATCTAGACGTATATTTATGATCACATACACATGATGAACCTTGATGGGACTTTCACAACAGGTACAAAGATGGCAAACTGATCAAGGACAACCACACTTGCTACGAGCCAGACCCAGGGAAGTACAGACTGGGCATAAGAGATGTGAGACCAAAGCATGCTGGAAACTACACCATTGTCTTGAGCAACACAAAATATGGCCTGTACAAGAACCTCACCATGCAGCTGATAGTGAGAGGTAAGGACTTGATGTTTAGCATGACTTCTGCTGGGCTCTTTCTCATTGTTTTGTGTGGTCCTGCTTTAGCAGTGGGCAGGAATGGGTGACATCTCCCCATGTTCAGCTGATATGGCACAGTTACAGCCCCCAAAAATAAATGCAGAGATTACTACCTTGCTTAGGAACCTACCTTAGATATACCTCATTCCATCCCATGTCAAATCAAAGCAACAGAACAGAGAACAGAGAGCTGGTGTGAGGAGTTAGCCTGAAACTAGGTCTTCTGCAGTCACTTTCCACTGAGACACTGCACCTCAGGTTTGGACCAATATCTCTGCAGTGGGAAGCAGAACAAACTTAACAGGACTTACATTTTGACAGGAGTTTTGGAGGACAGCTAGCAGTGAGGTCTTAGAGCCAGAGGCACAGTTTCCCAAGAGAAGTGATGGAAGTTTTATCCCTTGAGATTAAAAATCAGCTTGGGCAAAGCTCTGGGGAACATCTGTTGGGACAGGAAAAGTCCCAACAGGGCTGATGGAAGGAACTAGATAAGCTACCCTCTCTTTTATGTCTCTCCATCATCCTGCTACAGAAATACTTTCTAAGTCTGTATTTTATGTCTTGTCATTTATCTGCTCAAGAACTTGAGAGACAGGTTCATTTTCAGGGGCACCTGGAGAAAACTGAAGTAAACAGTGGTGTGCACTGAAGCAGGTTCACTTGACAAAGAGGGAAAATGAGTTTTGGACTCACATTTATTAATCTCCCTTGCTGGGATAATGGAAGACAGAGCCACATTGTCTCTTTGCACATCCACTGCCTCTTTTAATCCATTGAACTTGGCAACAGAGATTGAATCATGAGGCCAAGTAGGAGTTCAGCAAAAGTTAGCTCTGCTTCCCTTTGTGTTTCCCGAGCTTCGCTCAGCCAGAGAGTTAGATAAAGTTATTGAGAGAGATTTGCTTTCTTTTATGTGGTGAATTCTTTTCTCCTTAACCTCTTCACACCTAAAAATATTCTCAATTGTCCTTTGTACACTTACAAACTGCTGCACCATGTAACTTCCAGCATTTGTGGCTTTCTCATTTCACCTTTCAGAAAGGAACAGTGCCTAAGAAATGGAGATCTGGTCACTTAGGCACATTTGGCCTGTTAAAAATGGTAAATAAGAGAGAGATAGATAAGATACCTCAAACACTACATGAGTGAAGGTGTGGAGAGAGCTCAGGACATGCTGATGGTCAGGTACTGCTCTCAGCTGCTGGGGAGGAACGTGTTGAGCTGTGCTCATTTGTTCACTTGAGGCTGTCTTGTTAAGAGAACGGAAACATTCAAAGGAAGAGAAAATTAAGAATGATAATAAACTATCTTGTCAAGGTAAATACTGGTGGTTGCATGCAGAAGAGAATGTTTACTTGAAGAGCAGCCATTCCCCAAATAGGCATATAAAAAAACAAACAGACCTTGTTTCTATCAGCAAGATGCTATTTCAGGATTAAACCATCCCATGCTCCTAACTACAGAACAAGCCTTTCATCTTTCTTGTATGGACCAGTGTGTGCTATTCTGGCTCTCACACACAGTGCATGCCTAGCATGGTGCTCATTGTTTGCCTTCTGAGAGAGCAGCCCAACAAAGACTTCAATCAGGAGTAATTATTTAATTGGAAACCCACCATTCTCAAGAGCCTGCAGAGTCCAGCAGCTGCAGGACTGGAGAAGGTGTCGCACGAGGAAGCTCAGGAAAAATAAACAGCAAGTGTTTCTTTGCTGGTAAAAGAAAAGTTATCATAGGAATGAGAGCAAGCAAAGGACAGTACCTGCCAAAGAGTGACACTGTTTTCAAGCTAAGGGCTGCAGATAATGAGGACAGTTGCCTTGATTGTAGCCAGGACTGACACAAAACACCTAGGAAATCTCTCTTGCCTGTGCCAGGCTCTGCAGCACTAACCTGACATGCTGTACATGAAGTCTCTGTCCAAGGAGAGGGTCATTTTGCTGAGATGCATGTGGGTAGAGACCAAAAAAGGCAATTTTTGCTCTTGAAGTTTATCCAAGAGCAGCAAACTGCCTTTTTTTCTTGTGCTTTCTGTTAAAAGTAAAGGGACTGCTTTTTCAGATCTGGCATCATCTGCTTTACCTTCCAAAAAAACCCAACCTTCTAGCCATTGTATGCAGGCCTCACCCTGCCCACCACTGAAACACAACCCCCTCTGAGCTGGGAGGGGTGATCCAGGTCTCTGCTTAGAACCACAAGCAGTCTGCACTTACTGAAGCTGGAGTTTGCACACAGGGACTGGCAGATTCAACACAAAATTCCTCTTGGGCTTGCAAGTGAACAGGGTGGTAGGAGCATCAGTTTTGCATCACGTCTACAAGGTGGAGCCTGCAGCAGTCCTGCACCTGATAAGCCTCACACTGGGCACATACCATGTGCCAGCTCCCTGCTGCTGAGGAGTAACATTTCTTTTTGAGTCACAGCCCAAAGCCAGGGCCAGTCTTTTACTCCTCAGCTGTGAAAGTGAGGGAGCTCTGCACTAGACCATCAAAGAGAAGATGGCAAGTTAATTAAACAGACTGTGGAAGGAGAAGATCAATGTCATTTGAATATGTGGGGACACTGCATTCAAGAAATTCTAAGCACACAGCCCCCTCCCCCTGTGAGGCTCTTCAAGACAATCCATCATTAATGCTCCTGAGTGTCACCATCCATCAGTGTGCTGTGACAATCCATCCACTGCCACTTTGACCTAGGTGTGGGGCAGATTTAAAGTTAACACTGCTGTGAGCTGTTGTCCATGAGGAAAGTATGAACAGCAGCAGGACTCTTCCATCCAACTGCTCTGTATTAGTTTTTCCAGTGTATTTTATTCAGCACCAATGGCAGCAGAAGAGGATTCTTTAATGACTTCAGAAGTCAGCTGCCTGAGCCCTGCAGGACAGGAGTTGATATGCAGTGCATCTCCTGACCTGCCAGAGGACCAGCACTGCTTCAGGCTCTCCTTGGAGTCACCTCCCACAGCAATCACAGTAGTTCTGAGGGGACACCCTACGTGCCAGGTATTTCACCCCGTGGTGATGAGTAAAATTCTAGGAGCTATTTCCCCTCCCCAAGCTTGATCTGGCCATAAAACCTCTGAGTGTCTGCAGAGTGCAGACGTATGGAGCATCTCAGCTCCACAGAGACAAGAAAAAGCAAAATGGGCAAAGAATTCTGGAGGGAGGCAAGGACCTGGCTGACAGTGTGCAGGAAGGAGCACGTTGCCTGGCCTGGAGGAGAATCCTGCTGCTATGCCAAAAATGTCTCTTTAAGAAGTGGCTTAGCTGTGCCTCTGGTCACCCGTGTTCCCACTGCAGCTGGAATTTAATCTTGCAGGAGCACATATCTCCCTCGTGGAGTCACCTTGGCTGATGGTAGGACTGAAGTCCCCAGGAGGTAGCTGACTGCATTTTCAAAACACTCCTTCTTTACATATTTACACATCAAACACTGTCCAAGAAGCGGCGGGTTGCTGTGGTTTTGTTTTGTTTGATTAAATTCTTATTGAGGAAAGCTTCAAGAAAATAATGTCCTGAAGAATTTGGAGGGGAGGGAGCGAGGAGAAGGAACAATCCTAGCAAACAGCTGGTGGCTGCACATCTGAGGCAGCCAAGGAGGAGAAATGTGGGAGAAAAGAGTCATTCCGGGCCGGAGTACAAAGCGGTTTCAGAACAAAACACAAACAAAACCCCCTCCAACCTATTTATGGGCAAGCAGACTGCATTTCATTCTCACCCTTGTACAAGTCATCTGCATGTATCAGGGCTCTTGCTGAGCCCCTCTGGAGCAGCCAGCATGCTCTGACCACCACGTTGCCAGTGCAGATTGTATGGAGGCAGAAGTTAATTCAAAAATGGGATGAATAACCTCCCTTCACCACTTTGTCTTTCTTCTTTGGCCCAAAGTTTCTCTCCTGTGCTCCCTCCAGGCTCTTCCAGCAAATATTGCTTTGGGTTCCAGCTGCTCTAGTCAATTGAAATTACATTCCCTCGTAGAGTCCTTGATCCCCCAAGCTCTTGTGTTGTATCTATGCAGGATGAAGTGCTAGAAATGGCCTCTGCTGTAAGCAGCAGTAATTTTCAGGCTCCTTATGAATTCCCTAGCTCCTGGGCAAGGACTGGAATAAAAAGGGTGCGTGGAGAATCCACGTGTGCACTGCCACGTGCTCCTTGCTCTGTCAGGGAGGTGACCAGCTACACCTCCAGTTGCTGCTAGGGAGAATGAGCCCCAGAGCACTTGCTGCTGTGTGCTGTCCTACTCTGTAGTCAGGCCAGCTCTTTGTATTTGGTTTAAAATCAAAGGCAGTTCTGTGCCTGACCTATTTTGGCTTGCAAGGGATGAGTTGACATCAAAGGAGTCCCCAGTGATCTCCATAAAAGTTAATAAATATGTGGTGATCCATGTGAACAATACCCCATCACCTCAACCAGATGCAGAAATAGTCTGAGGAGGGAAATGAGCCTTCAGGATGAGGTTAATGCATTTGGGCTATGCCAGTTCAGAGAAAAACAGCTCTTGGAGTGATGGTTCTCAGCTCAAGACAGTTAAGACAGAGGAGAGACTCCCACAGCCTTTTATGCATGGAGGGGCCACTGAAATCTCTTAAGTTGGACACAGTGAAAAACATGAATTTCTTTGGATTGTTAGTGCAACCCAACTAATGATCAGGTTAAAGGTCTGAGCCAGACAGGAGAAGCAGGGCTCCATAAAATGATCTACCTTCCCCTCACCTGCATGCTTGGCTATCCTGCCAGCACTGGTCTCCCTTTGTGTGTCACATCCATCTCCTGCACAGCTCCTTGGAGGACGACCCACTCAGGAGAAGTCAAAAGAGAAAATCTCATTTTCCACCTCCTGGGCCAGCTGAGCAAACTAGAAATCCCCAAATAAAACACACGTGTTCCTCCCCAAGCCCTTTGCTTTGCTTTCCTCCTGGGTACTGGCAGCAAAGGCTGTGGCCAGTGCTTTGGGTGGGCAGG